TTCATTCATTCATTCATTTGTAAAGTGCTTTAACAACAACCAACTAAGGTGACCAAAGCACTTTCCAGCAAAAATCACATCAGAAGAAAGGAAAACATAAAAACAACAGAAAAAACCCACTATGCTACATGGTATTAAGAAACTATCTAAAGAAATAAGTCTTGAGCTCAGACTGAAAGAGGTCAGAGGTGGAGCAAAGGTCTAGAGGGAGTTTGTTCCAGAGTTGGGGTCTTGTCTCTGAAGAGTCCCGGTCACCCCAGTGCTTTAGCCCTGACCTTGGGATATCTAATAAAAGTTGATTTGCTGACCTCAGGGATCTCCCTTGTGCACCTATAGGCTTAAAAGTTCAGATAAATATGGTGGGGCAGTGCCTTTAAGAGCTTTAAAAACAAACAATAAAATTTTAAAATCATTTCTAAAACAGACAGGAAGCCAATGTAAAGTGGACAAAGCAGGTGTGATATGCTCATGTCTAGAGGTGGTTAAAAGACGGGCAGCTGCGTTCTGGACAAGCTCATCTCAGGGAAGACTGAGGGACACCAATATACAATCCATTACAGTAAACGAGTCCAGAACTAACAAATGCATGAATGGCTTCCTCTAAGTCAGTGCGATTTAAAAAGATTTAACTTTGGTCAGAAGACGTAGATGGTAAAAGCTAGATTTGTCTACAGAGTCAATTTGTGCATTAAATTTAAGCTCCTGATCAAATATTACCCTCTAGGTTCCTGACAGTTGCATTTAGCTTAATAGGTAGGGCACTAACAGCCGTTAATCACTCCAAAAAAGAGACAGCGGTGTAAGTAATGCCTGGTCTTAAGAGACAAGTAGATAAGTTAGTCATCTGCATAACAGTGGAAGGACACTGTGCGCAGAATGTGAATATTTCATTGGCATTCCATCTATGGGTTCATGAGATATTTTACTAACAGACAGCATAACAAAAACACACAAGCAATTACCTGTTTGCTTTCTTTTTATGTTGCAGTAACCCTTTTCTTTTTTAGTTTGACAGGCTGCTTAGGTTATTTTGGTTGTGAAATAATCCAATGATGGGCAGARTGGTCAACATCAAGGTCTTTTTGTGCTACGCTCATTAAAACGAACAGGAAGTGGCCTTCTCTATTGTTTCTGCAATGGCAGAAATATCATCCTTTGTTGAAGCTGMTATCATAATAAGTTTCCAAGTGTTTCAAACCATAAATATTTCCCTGTATTTATTCCACTTTGTAAGAAAAAACAACAACAAAGAAGCAGAGTGCTTTAAAGTGTAGATATTTCCAGAAATAAAGCTATTACGAGGCAGTTTCTGCTCTGACCAACCATGCAACACTTCAGAGTGATGCATGAGACAGAGCTGAACAGAAAAAGGCAAAGAAAGAGGAGGAAAAACAGCTGAGAGAGTCTGCACAGGAAGGGAAAGACAGCGGTAAAGGTGAAGAGACGGAGAGTAGGAGGAGGTGAAGAGAGGAGTGAGCTGTGATTTGAATGCTGCCGGTGACGCGGCAGCAGCGAAARGCAATTACTGACAATCACGCTGATGGAGGAGCTGCTGTGCGAAGACGAGACGGTGTGCCAAATAAACCTCTCACAATCTGTCTCTGTCTGTCCTGGTCTCTGCGTCTCCCTCMATTATCCCTCCTGACGTCTCTCCACACTTCTTGCCGTCGCGYCGCCTTCAGATTTGCGGCTCTAAAACGTACCAGAAACCAGCCGCTGCCAGCGAGTTCAACGGAACGCCAACTCCTCTCTGAAGTTTATTTTTGATTGTTTTTTTTTCACTTGTGGTTTTAGCTGACATGTTGTGAAACATGGCAAAAACACAATCATCCGACTTCACCTTTTCAACTGTTTGTTCACAGCGATGAAGTCTTCTCATCCCTCTCTGTCACACTTTCTGAACCACACCCTCACTCGATGGAAACGGACCACAAAAACTCATTCTAAGATTTTTTTCCAGCATCCTACAGGCCTCATTCCTCACCCACTGTCTCACACAATAAACAGCTCCGAAGCACAGGAGACAGAAAAAGACACACAAAGAATTCTACATAGTCTGAACAAACATGCACACCCCTCCACCCCACCCAGTCCCTCATTGTTTCCCACAGAATGACTCCTACTCCAGGAGCACTCCAGTCCTGGCTTCAGCCTCCTGTGAGGAACCACAGCGAAGGAAATAAGGAGGCCAGGAGGCACAGATGGAGGTACTTGAGTGAGGCGCAGCATCAGGCTGCGGTTTGAAGGGGAAACTGAAAATGGGGCAAGGTGAGAGTAAAGAAGGGAATTCATCACCACGCTGAGAATCATTTCCTGTCAGGAAGAATCCCCACCGTGTAACAGAGGTGATCCTGTATTATGGATTCTGGGGCTTAATATGACAAATGGACCAAAAAAAGGACAATATTGAGTGTAGGGTGATTTTGTGGATGAACGTGGTTATAAATCACACAATCATTCCCTTCTTCCATTTGAGCTTTTAAAACCATTTCAACATGCAAGAATAAATATATTCAGCACACTGACATGGCTAACGGTGGTTGTAGCTCGAAAACAGCATCTCACCAGGTTGACAAAGTCCTGGTAGCAGATCTTTCCATCGGCGTTGCCATCAGCGAGCGCCAGCAGGACTTCCAGTTTRTGGGGGTCCAGTTCAGATCCGTGGGTGGCCAGCAGGTCCCTGAACCTCTCTGTGCTGATGAAGCCCGAATTCTCCGGGTCATACTGCAAGTGAGCACAAACAGGTGGTGCAAAGATGAACACGACCACTTGCAATCTACTTGTACAGAAAACCAAACAGGACAAACATTACTGGACAGGCAGACAGAGCTCACATGAGAGACATGAAAGGCTGCAGAGATGTGATACAAACAAACACACAACAGATGTCCATTCAGTGATAACGTTTTCTAATAGCTTCACTCAAATGTAGCTACTGGTTCATGAGATATGCTAACAGTACACAAAGATAAATTTGAACATAAGCTCTGTATTAAAAACCAAACCAGAACCAACCTTTTCCTGCAGCAGATCAGTCCRTTTCTGCTGCAGCCATTTTGTCATGATGTGTGTTTTATGATGAAATCACATCAGCCCGGGGATCACCCAATGAGTGTGTGTGTGTGTGTTCCTGTTACACTGTCTGTCCAGACTGGGCAGCCCAGTTTCTCTCCAGGACTAAAGGATTACGGTCCAAGCCAAGACACCCGCCCCCATCACTCTCATTGCCCCTCCTAAAGACACAACTCTTCATCCTATGAGATTCTTCACTAAAAAAGGAGATTTCAACAAATGAGCCTGTTTTTTGCCGTCACAGACAGACATTTATTATTTTCCACACTCCACCCCACCCATAACAGGCTTCATCTGAGAGAACAGTGTCTGCAGTCAACAGGCTGGCTGCTGAGAGGAGGAGCTGCACAATAAGCCTCTCATGGCAATTTCAARCCAGCATGACCCGATCTTCTCCTCCCTAAGTGCTGATTGTCTTCCTCTGACGAACAGAGTGTGTGACGCAATAACACGTCTTCACCCACYGTTAATTTCTATAAACTAACAGAAAGAAATGGCTTATTAAAGTTTAATTAGACAGAATGCCACTCAATGCTTCATTTTTATCAAATGAACTGAGTAGTCAGGAGCGCTTCACTGCATGAAAGCACTCTTAATTACTGTTCTGTTCATAATTTCTGGCTGTTTTTCCATTTGGCAGCTTTAAAGAAAACATGCAGCTGATTTTTTTCAGAACTTAGGACTTGATCAGGATCAGTGTGCTTTGACAAAAMCAGCGGTGACCACAATAAGCATCTTTAAGCTCTGCATTTACTCTGATAATGTATATTAACTGTTAATTCTTTATTACTAGTTGTGTTTATTTTACTTGAAATTTAAATGATTTGACTTAYGCAAACAACAGTACTATAATAACTCCAGGATTTGAAGTTTTTAGATTGTAAATATAGGAAAAATTCACCCGGCTGAGAATCTGGATGAATTTGTAGCGCAGCATATTTCGATATTTATGTTTTTGTAAGTTTCATAGAGCTTGTTTCGCAAACAGAAAAAAAAAAGAGGTGTAAATCCTGCAGATTAAAAATAAGCGCACACATGCACACGCAAATCCTGGTACACACATAATACCCACAAAACATCTACATTCAGTGTATTAAAGCGTCTCTAAGCAGCCTCTCTGTGCTCAGAAGAAAAACAACCAAAGGAGAGGTGCAGGGAGTAAAGATGTGGGGGTTGAGGTTGTAGCAAGGGTGTGTGTGTGTGTGTGTGTGTGTGTGTGTGTGTGTGTGTGTGTGTGTGTGTG